AAGTAATTTACCAATTAAGAGAAGAAGAAATTTCTGTCTAATGGACTGTGGTACTACAGAGATTAGCGGTTGCTCATGGTAGCCCCTTGGCTGAGCAGAATGCTACCCACAGGTAGAAAAGAGGGAACACTCCTGCTGCAGTAACCCTACTAGATGCAGGGAGTCAGAGGGAAAAGGCTTTAGGAAGGCTGAAGGTTGGGCTGGATTTCAACCATCATCTTGGCAAAGCCAAGTCTAAAAACTTGGCTTAGGCTCACCAGGTGACAGAGCTGTTTGTTCTAGAAAAGGGAAGACTCAGAATGACCGTTTCAAAATTTATTTTTAAAATATGTGGTCTTCTGAGAGTGAGGGGAAAGAGCAACTTACTTTATTTGCAGGCTATATACTCAGAAAAACTTTCCCATGCTAAGTTTTATTAAATACTGAAACAAGTTTAACAGGAAGGCATTGGAATCTCTTTAGGTGGAGATTTTAAAAAGATGATCCAAAGTTGCTTAACAGCCTAGGAAATGGCATATACAAAGTTTTCAGACCTCTTCAAGCTCTGCCTTTCTGGGTTTCTGTGATTAATTTGAATGTGTTCAGGAGATGAAGCTAACACATCCACAACTAAAGCACAGCAATGTGTGCAGTCTCTGTGGAGCAGGCACTTACAACTGAAACAGTGAACTCTCGACCAGTTGTTTTTTTTTTTTTTTAGTTTTTGCATAGTTCAGAGACACAGTTGGAATAGTAAGACTTTTCTCCCATGTGGGCAGGAAAGACTTGACAACAAGAATGATACTCCAGGCAGACAGGAAGGAAAAGGTGCTGTCATTTAAATAGCAGAGCCCCCCAGTTGCCCCTCCACCCCACCACATGGCTTCAGGAGCTCAGCTCCTGGGTCCCTGTTTCTTTCTCGACCTTTCAGGGCAGGGGCCTCCTCTCGGTTTGTACAGCAGCTTGCATAAATAGCAGTACAATGTTAGTTGGGCTCAGGAGATGTTACTCCAATTCAGGTATTAATAACTGGTACTAATACATGTTGAAGACCCGGCTTGTGACACGCAGCAGCACATGGGTGGGCTGTATGCCACAGGATGGCAGCCGTGCACTTTGCACCGAGCCATCCTGCAGACACCATCTCTCCCCCTCCCTCTCCCCCTGCTAGATAAGCAGCTCACAAAAAGGGTCTCTTAAAGGAAACCACAGACTTTGAAAGCTGTCTCCCCCATGCAGGCACAGCCAGGTACTAAAATGTCACTTCAAAGAAATTCTCAGCATTTTTATCATAGACCTGAAGCTACCAGGAGTTTGTTTCACTGTGTTGTCCAAACACTTGGGTTTGACAATTCACATTTCCAGAGCTGAAGCTATACAGAAGCCTGAAGCAAAGAAACATGGTGCTGAGCTGGAAGACTGAGGTGATTAGTTCAGTTCTAAGCAAACCAAACTGGGGGGATGAGTCAATATGCTCAAGGGCAAGGCTGTCACTCAGAGAGAGGGACCTCAGCAGGCTGCAGGAAGTTTCCAGGAACCTCAAGAAATTCAGCAAGGACAACTACCAAATCCTGCACCTGAGAAGGAATAGGTGCATGCAATGGTAAGGGCTGAGGACTCACTGGCTGGGGACAGCTCTGCAGAAAACGCCCTAACAGTCTGGGCTAACAGCAAGCCAAGAATGGGCCAGAAGCTTGCCCCGCAGCAGAGAGGGCCAGCAGCATCCTGGGCTGTTTGAACAGGACCACAGCCAGCAGATCAAGGGAAGGGATTTTTCACCATTTATTTGGAACTTGTTGGACTGCATCTGGAGTAATGCTTGTAGTTTGGGGATTTGCTGTACAAGAAAGACATGAGTAAACTGGAGCAAGGTCAGGGGAGGGCCACCAGGACGGTCAAAGCTGGAGCACTTGTCCTATGAGGAGAGACAGAGGGAATGGAGATTGTTCAGCCTTGAGAAAAGAAGGCTGCAGGGGACCTAATAGCTTCCTCCCTGTACCTATTGAGTATTATCAAAAACATAGACCTAGACTTGTTACTGAGGTGCATAATGGAAGAACAAGAGACAGTGGGAAATACAGGAAGATCCAACTTGGTATAAGGGAAAAAAATTCTCAAACCCTGGAACAGGCTCCCCTGAGGGGTTGGGCAGGCTCCATCCTTGGAGGTTTTCAAGGCCTAACTGGAGAAATCCGTGAGAAGCCCGGTCTGATGCCAGAGCAGGCCCTGCTCTGGGAAAGAGGTTGGACCAGGTATCTCCTGAGGGACCTTGCAGCTGAGTGACTGTGATTCTGTGAAACTGCCTACCTGACAGTACTCTTCCGAGCAGTAATGGCTGAAGAGCTGGGGATGCAAAAGCTGGCTCTGTACCTCATCACCTGCATAGCTGTGTGTGAAGAAGATGAGCAAGCTTTTCCAAAATGTCAAAAATCACGTATGCAGACACAAGTGTGTGGGAGTCCTGACCAGAGCTTCCTATTGCTCCCACCTATAATGTGAAATTGCAACATCAACCTCTGTGCAAATGATGTCTAATAAGCACATTGTCCACAAGTTCTCAGCAGCAAGATGAACGCACTCGTAAGACTGTGGACCTCATCCAGTTCTTCTTGAATATCAAACTCTTGGGCATTGCAATACAAAACTTCTTTAGAAATCACTAGAGCAGAAAAAAATAACTGTATTTCACAGCTAGCATGAATGGCATGTGCACATTTTGTAGTATATATGAAAGCAACAAAAAATAAGCATGAGGAAAATCTAATAAACTTTAATAAACTTTTTTTTTACAGTTGACAGCATCTTATATTTTCACAGTGAGGTGCATCAATGAAAGGACCTTTCTTTACTTGTGCCACAACATGGCAGTAGCAACATAAACAAGCAAAGTGGTGTGTCAAGGCGGAACAGCAAGAAACTGTCAGTAACTCAGCTTCAAACTTTCTCTTCATTTGCCCCAGGGACAGCTCAGCCCTGCACAAAGGAAGGATGAGCCAGCCTTAACAACCACCATCTTCTTCTGTATTGCTTGTGCCAGATGATAATATTTTGCAATAAAAGATTACAGTCTGATTAAGGGAAGATTCTTTATTGGTTTACCCTTTTCTCATGCTTTTTGCTATTGAATGACAAGGGCAAATAATGCTGTCTTTTGAGGATGTTCATTCAGAGTTGCTCCAAACCTGTTGGTAACAGGTCCTTGGAGTGGAGGTGCACACAGGTGCCAAACCCAGGTTTGCTCAGTTTCCAGAGCTGGGCTACTGAGCTGGCTGCCAGCCAGATCCTTTCTTAAATTACTTGACAACACCCAACGGACCCACAGGAAGACTGAAATTACCAGAAATAAAGGCACTTTGTGTAAGCCCTAAATGAAAACATTAAAGCTAAGAATGGTTTGGAGAAAAGAGGGAATAAAGGTCTTCCCTTATTAGATGCATCCAAGGAGGGCAAAAAGGGTTTAAAGTTTATCCTGAAATACAACGGACTTTCTGATAAGTGTATAGAGAGTCAAATTCACCACTACCTTACATGTGATATAAATAAGCCAAAGTGTCTCTTGTTGTGTAACATTAGCAACAGAGAAGCACTCTAGTGAACAGATTGCATACGCTTCTCACATTTGCCTGATGCACAGCCCATGCATTTATTACAAAACAGGGATCCACAGAGTACTTCTCCTTCAGGAGCTGAATGGGCATCTTGGGAATTCAGGCATCTAAAGAGACTTCTGATGGGCAGAGCGAAATACTGCTCCTCCAATTCTTGAAGTCTCTCATGTACCAGCTCTTCCAGGGAAAAAAGTACAGTCACAAATTTCAAATTCACATATCAGACAACTTGCTTGAAATATCTATAGTATAATTGGTTGGATTTTTTCCTTCACATTTGCACATGCAATACGCCTTGTAAATGAGTAGGTAGGACTTGAATCACAGCAGCGTTTCAGTGTCTAACCTTCATTGGTTTCAGTAACAATAAAATGCCCAAATACTTCTCTGACTTGGGCCTAAACAACACTCTAACTCCTGGCTTTGGCCAAATGCCCTTACTGAGGTAGCAGCATCAGCACTTCCCAGAGGGCTTTTGGGCATGTAAAGGCCAGGTGTTGTTTTTGAAAAAGCAGCAGATATATTTTCATTTTAATCACAGCAATTCTTACTCTGTTGCTCACAGGGGCCCTGTCAGAGTACCTTTGCCCCCCAGCATGTTGCCTCATGGTTTGTTTTTTAGGATGCTCCTAGTGCATTTCCTAATGAAGCTGCTTATGACTGGCATGTCCTTACAAATAATCCCACTGGTTATTCATGCTAGTTAGTACCAGGCTACCTGTAGAGATTCTAGCTTTTGGTAGGTACTCTCCTGTGGTAACAGCATTGTAAAACATGCTACAAATATGTTGTTTTCCATGCTGGATCATGGAGAAGCATCCACAGCATTTAAGTCATGGTTGAGAGACACGTTTCCCTCTGCTAAGTTGTGACAGAAAATTTCCAGTTACTCCTTCCAGTTGGGTGATCAGGCTTTCAAACCGGATCTGTTTTTTTTCTGTTTTAGACCTACGCACAAAGCCCCTGGAAAGCAGGCAGAGCAGAATATGTCCTACGGGGATGGTCACGGGGCTGCCCAGGTCACGGGAGGGGAGCACAGCATGCCGGAGGTGCCATCTCCCTCCCTGCACACCAGGCTGGCCATCCCCCTGCGAACACGGGTCACCAGCTCCCATGGCTCGGCTGCACTCCAGCTCCCCTCCTAGAGCAAGCAGAGAAGCCGTCGGTCAAGTCAGCATTTCCAGGTGAGCCCTTCGTGTACGGCAGCACACCCGACGGCGTGGGAGCAGAGGTAATAAAACCAGGTAGGGATCCTGCTGCGGTGGTGTTAATGATAGGGGTAGACCTTGGACCGCTCTCCCGGTTGTCAGGGGAACGGCACGGGTTGCTGGCCGGTGAAAACATAAAAGAGCAGCTGCAGCGAGCGGGAGAGAAGGCACTGCCGCTGGCCCCGCAGGCCCACCCCGTTCCCAGCCATAGCCGAGCATCCCTGCCTCGGCCCGCTCGGCCGAGCGGGAAGCCGGGCGGTGGTGAACTCATCCGCCAGAATCTGGAGAAAGAGTAAGTCGCTGTCTTTGTTTTGGCTCTAAAAGGGCAGAGGGGTAAAAAACAGAATATATTTAATAGCTTGTACTTTTGTGAATGAGGAGGTGTCTCTTCTAGCACAATTATTTCCTTGCCAATAACTCTGTTCCTGGCAGGTATTTTTCTTTCAGATTTGTTGTTTTGTAATCACAGTGAAATAACAGATTCTGCAAAGTTTGTCTTTCATATGTTGCAATTGTTTAGACACTGTATCTGTATGCCTTAGGTAATAATTAATATCCCAATGAATGATAACCACAAAGAACAGCAGAATGATTTTGCTCTATTTTGCAAATACTTCTTTAGGCAAATCTTTAAAGGTGACATGAGTGTTGGTGGGAATTATTCCAGCTGACAGGAGTTGAGTCATTTTATTCAGTCAACTGCCTTGAGAAGAGCACTGGAAGCTGAGGATCGGAGAAAGAGCAGCTAGGACTTGTGTTTTATTCTGCCATTTAACTTACCTGTGTTTTAGACCTGTGTTTTATTCTGCCATTTAATTTATAAATCAAGCCAGTGATACAGTAAGGACAAAAGAAACTAAATACACCATCTCTATATAGCTTTGCAGCCTTGATGGCAATGAGAACATCCACTACCCCAGTGAGTGAATGGAAGCCAACATACCCGGCACCAGGAGGCCCTACTCCAGAGTTTCAGCCTCCAGCTGCTTAGTGACCATTCACATTTCATAACAGCTTTCTATTATGCAGCCTTCTCCTCTCACATCTTTTTTTATTAATTTATGATTTGAACAATAGAAAATAAAGTGTTAACGTATACTTTTTATGCCATTTTCATTCATGAAGTAAGCACTACACTTTGGGCTTGGAAAGTCTTTAATTTAGTGTAATGCTTAACTTGAACTTTTGCCCAGGTCAGGTTAGAAAGGACACTGGGAAATAATAACAGAAAGTTGCAATCAAGCTTTCTTTCCTGAAGTTCACTCAGTGTAAGTACCCTTGCTTCAGGGAGTAGTTGGTTTGACATAAAAAAATGAGAATTTTAGAAAGTGGTTTTAAGATTAATTTTAGTACCCCAGTGTTCAAGTGCTCAGCTTGAGCCACCAAGGATAATGCTGGTTTTCAGGCAGTGCTGACCACTCACCCTTGGGACGCCTCATTTCCCAGAAGGTGTCCCTTTCTGAGGACAGATGAATAAACAGGGATGTGATGGCGTATACCTCACAATTATAAAAGTACTTGTATGAAAATGTGATGCACTTGTGCATTCATGAGCATATGAATTCATTCTTTATGCACGTGTACACACTTTTGGGTTTTTTTGAATACTCAGACTTTAATCCACAGAAAGCACAACCCCCCTAGCATTGTAGCTTACATACATTCCATGCATTCAGAGTCAGCACTAGTACTGAAGGAAATTGTATTTGCTAAGGCTTCTCTTTTATAAAATTAAATAAAATTAGCTTATTGGAAGGCAAAAGGCTGGGTCGTTCAAAAAGCAAACAAGGAAGTTACTGAAAGGTACTGATCTATAATTTATTTCACAGTGTAACATATAACTTTACTCTCTGGGGTTTTTCTTTAACACAAAGACAGGACTTGATTTTGTATCCCTGACAACTTTTTGGTACAGGGCTCTCATAAGCATCAGGAGAAGAGTTCAAGCCGTTAGTGCTTCCGTTATTTGAAAGCTGCAGAAGGCACTGCAGAGAAGTACCAGTCAACAGACTGGAATAGCTGCCTGGTTAGATAGCAACAGGAAGAAACTTATTTTTCTGTAATGCCTTCCCTCTTAAAGCACTTCATAACCCCTGAATAGAAAACTAGACTTCTAGTCATAGATTGTACTAGTTGGCAGGATGGACACACACTGCTGTAACGACACTGCTAGGAGTAAAAATCTGATCTTTCATCTCATTAGATCAGATTTATACCACTGATTTCAATCCAGTTACACAGGTGTAATGACAAATCCTGCCTATGGCACTCGAGTGGGTAAAATACGTTTGATCTGCTGCTGCTTTGTAAAGCTGTGCAGAACAGTGCTCTCCTCCCAAGTTGGTAAAGCTTTGTATCAGTTTCTTCTCACTTTTCATTTATGTAAATGCTTATCCTGGTGCAATTCAAAGGTGAATACCGAGATCAGTGTGTGTCAAGCCTTCCTGGACAGCATGTACTGTGCACACCTCCAAGCTGGAATAGCTCCAGGTCTGTTCTGGCAAAGCAAATCCTGCCACCCATCTTGGTCCCCCGCTCTTTATTAGGAAAAGTGCAGACTGCATGTGTGAAGCTGGGCATGAAAATGAAGGCCTTACATATGCATCCTTTATACCCACTCAGGTTGGGAATAATCAGGCTGTGACCTGCTGAGAGTGACCTTCATCGGGAAAAAGGGAGATATCACCACTCCCAGTTCTTTGGGACAATAGGACTTCCTCCTTTCTCTTGAGTTTTCTCCTATTAATCTGCATCCTTGCAGTTACATGTCAGAACTTTCCCCACTGTAATGTTTGCCTCCAGTATGGACAGAAGCTTTGCATGGGATGGACAGGCTTGATGATTTTGCAGAGGTGTTTTTAGATTAATGGTCTGTCCCAGAGTCTGTGTACACCTGAATACCAAAATACCCATATGGGAACATTTTCACGGGCCTGTGTGTACTTCAGGGAAACAGAACTGCCTATTTTATCTTGCATTTTTACCATTGCTGAGAAAGAATGTGTTCTGCTACACTTGACGGCACCACTGCTATGGCACTGGCTGCTTAGCCTAATGACAGCAGCCCAGGCTTTTGCTCCACAAGCAAAAGCAAATACAGTTTTCAAGACACACAGATTGCGCTGCAGCCTGGAAGGCTGCAGAATGTCATTTTTTATCACAACGTTATTTTCCTACATTTATCTGTGGAGTAACTAAATAATTATGGTAATTGTTTAAACAAAGAAATGGAAAACAAAATACCTCTCTCTCTGCCATCAGCCCACTTAGGGAACTCCTAAACTCCCACAGAGTAAAAAGGTCAAATCCAGCATTTTGTTTCCCTCAATGCATGAGCCTCCCTAGGGCTTCCTGGTAAGATAATGTAGCTTGTCTGTAGTGGAGACTCAGACTGTACGTATTAAGGGACTGACTCTTTGCATTTTACATAACCCTTTATGTTTTCCTGTAATCTTGTAGTTTAACACCTGCTTAGTTCAGTAGATGTTAAAAACTAACCTCACCCTTTCTCAATGTGCATACCTCTTTGTAAAACAGGGATGTTATTTTTTTCAGTTACAATTTAACAAAGGGTTTTTTTCCAGAAGATGTGATAGGCTTTCAAGCAAATTGTTAATATTATCTTTCAGGGGAAAAAAACAAACCAAACCAAACCAAAACAAAAGAAGTTCATTTTACTTTTTCAAATGCCAAAGAAATTGCACTTCAAAAACCTCCATTTAGTCATGATGTGAACACAGAACAGCCACCCAACTGTAGCCCTGTGCAGTCTTTAAAAAACCCTTTATCAACAAACATCTTACAGGTTATACTGGTATTAAATATCACCAAAAAAGTACACAGATGAAGGCAAGCCTCGGGCATGCTTTGCTCCTCGGAATAACAGGAGCCTGTCTGTGCTCCTCTTCCCCCTGGCTCCCTTTTGAGGTTTCTGAGTGGCAGGTAAGTAATGCATCAGCCCAGGTAAGATCAGCCCAGTTAAGCTGCTCTACCTGCCTCCTTGCTGCCACCTTCACTCTGAAATGCAATGTGTTTTTTTACACATCCCTACCATACCTACATGCAAAAAGGAAAAGAAAGAGGCCGTCTTTGTAGTTCTAAATGCTTTTGGTGTCCAGCCTTTCATGCTATTTTGATCTAAATTGGGTGGTTTTGGTATTCATCCTGTGTACATTACTCAAGCTGCACAAGATTATATGGATTTAAGCTCCTCTTTGCTTAATACAGCACTTTCACATAGGCACATGTTAACACAAGTGATCAATGAGGGGTTTTAATTAGTTTTTTTTTTTTTTTTCTGAATAGAGAATGGAAGAAAGCACCCTGTGAAGAAATTAATTGTATAGGCTTGGGACTTCCATTGAATAGGATTAACTTTCCTTGAGACAGTAGCATTCTCACACAACAGTCAAAGGCTTTTTATTGCTTTTTTGCAGTTTTCTTAATACATAGATCTGCAACTAGAAAAAAAAAAAAAAAAAAAAAAAAAAAAACCAAACCAAAAAACAGTGGAATAATCAAAGCAAATTCAGAAACCTAAAATGACACTATTACTAAATAAGCATTGAAAATCTCCTTTAGCTATCAAAACACAAGAATTAAAATGAGTGGGTATAGAATCTTGTTCTCTAAAACTTTTGGGATAATATGCAATATAACAGGGGTTTCAATGCTGGAAAGAGATAACACATCTAAAAACATGCATGGCTGAAGCAATCAAACTGGACTAATTTTCTGCTGGTATCTGTGTCTAATCCAATTTTCACTTGGAAGGCCCGCCACTCTGGACAAAAATGAACAAATTATTTACTGGATTTAGATCACTCAAAATTGTTTAATCAGAAACAGGTTACTGCTACCGGAAGCAAGTAAAATTTCCCTACAATCACTAGGATTTTTGTTTGCTGCCAAGCAGAGAATGCAGCTTCTCTTCTCCCCTCCCTACTGCAGAGATCCCAGCTCCGGAGCAGTGGCCGCCTTCCCCCTCCCCAGGCCAGCACTGCAGGCTGGAGGGACTCCAGAGCAGCTGCTGGGATCCAGTCTTTTTCCATTTTTTGCATAATAGGGACAACTTATTACTGAACAACAAATATTGGACTGGATATAAATCACACAAATCAGTAGCCAAAGCAGAAGCAGAACGGGTGGCTCTTTGGAGAAATGTTATTCCTTTTCTTTTACTTTCTGTCAAGACATGCTTGTAAAGTTAGCAAAAAACCTGCCTCAGGACCTCAGTTTTGTACCCCTTCTGTATGTTCTGCCCTCTTAAAGAACTTCCTTATTTGCTGAGGA